TGATGCAGCAGACCTCTCCTGCCTCACCCACTGCTCCCCTCAGCAGTGTATTTCAGTCAATCCACCTGTTCTGTTTCCCACTCTGTCTCTGGTGAATACTCTCACCCCTTGCACCTCTGGCCTGTACCCCAGTTCTTTAATGCATAAATAAATAAATCTATTTAAAAAAAGAAAAGATGGGTTAAATTATAAGGCATGGGGGTAGGGTCACTGCTCATATATTGCAATGCTCCACACCTGCCTGGATCAGGGAGGAGTGCCCCAAGTCTTTTTTTTGGCTGGGCCCCAGGCTCACCTCATGATCCTCACCTCCAAACTCCTCACCCCCCAAACTTCTTGCCTCCCAGGATTTTGATTCAACCCAGCCGGGTTCCCAGGGGAGTCAACCTAACATGATTGTGGAAACCTGGTTTTCTGATATTTAAAATATTGTTTTCTTACTTGAGTATAAGTTCTGGGATGCCTGTAGCAGCCAACCATGCCCTGCCACTGTGTTAAATGTTCGTCCACATCAGTGCATCCTACTCTATAGAAACAGAACCAATAGGATGTGCTTATAGAAAGAAATTGATTTTAAGAATTGGTTCAGGCCACCATGGAGGCTGACAAGTGCAGAATTCGCAGAGGCCAGCCAGCTGGAGATCAGGCTGAATGCATCATTTCCAATGCTGGGTTCCCACAAACAGGTCTATTTTGCTACTGGGATAGTCAGGGAAAGCAGTGTTAAAAGTAGGAACTTGGGAGCTAGTCAAGTAAATCCCCCATTAGCTGTGTGATGTTGGTGAAACATCTGACATTCTGAACATGTTTCCTCTTCTGTAACCTGAGGGAAATAATAGTATCTCCCACATAGGGCTGTGGTGAGAATTATTTGAGATGAGGGATGCAAAGAACCCAGCACAATATGTGAAGATGGTAGATCCTTGACAATTTGTGTTCCTTCCTATCTCGTGAGCCAGAACTGGAGGATCATGTAATCTGAGTGACATGAGGGGACAACTTGAGTCTGAGCTCTTGGGGGAGTCACCCAGCTGGGACAGGAATCTGGTGCTGGAATCTGGGGGTCTCCCAACACCAAGACCTCACCAACACCTCCCTTAGGACTCAGAGGACATGATGGCAGGAAATTCTTCATTTCCCCCCCCACACACACACACATTCCAAACATGGTCTTAGGTGTCCTACCATAAACCCAGAGTCCCTCTAGAGCCCAGGTCAGAGACAAGACTAATGACAAAACCCAGCAAGCTTCATTAGAGTTTTCTGCAGAACATTCGGGTGTTATCTCTCACTACACCATGTCATTCATTATCTTAATCATTGCAATTTTTTTTTTAATTTTGAGTTGTCAGACTCGGCAGAGATTACTCATCCAAAGAAAAGATGCTTTTTCTATTTTGGTCAAATAGGGGTTTGGGTTTCCTCAGAATAAGAAGCTTCTTCCGGCTTCCTTTGAAAGATGGTTCTTATTACATATTCAGAGAGAAGAGGGAGCTGAAGCCGTGAGGTCCCAAAGCCCTTTTGCGATGTGGGGAGTCTATCAGGAGTAATGATGAATATGCTCAGTAGTGGCCAAAGGTTTTCTAACCTAGCGTGGAACTGGAAACTTTTTGAGCTGTAAGAAGCTGCAAACGTCATTCCAATCTGTTGGGTGACCATCCATGAGTCGCTGCAGCATTAACTCACTTTCTGAAGGAATGACTTCATGAAGGGGATCCCATCCCTATTACAAACCTCCAGTGATTCCACTCCATTTTAGGAAGAAGTCCACAGGCTCCGCCATGGCTTTGTAACCATACTGCCTCCAACCACTATCCTCCCCTTCACACACTCAGCTATGATGACCTTCTCCTCCTTCCTTGCCAAGAACCTTGCCCCTACCTCGGGACATTTGTACATACCACTCCTGCTACAAGGCATACTGCTTCCCCTTATCTGCATATGCCTGGCTCAGTGCAAATGTCACACGCTCAGAAAAACCTTCTCCCACTATCTTTAAAAAGTACCACCCCCGGTTACTCTCAATTACATTACCCTGCTTTGCTTTCCTCATAGCAATTATCTTTAGCTGAAATTATCTGGTCTACTCCTCATCGTTCTCCTCCCTCAAGCAGGTCAGATCCTTGCCTTTCTTGCTCGTGGATGTATCCCTGAGTTAACCCAGTACCTGACATATTGTTGGGCCAATAGACATATGTTGAATGAATGAATGAATTTAATACCCATTTTCTTTTTTTCATCAGAGCTTATGCAAACTTTTGAGGCTGACATCACTGTGGTGCTTATTTAATGGTCCAGGAAATGGGCTCTGAGGCAGAAACTGGCTCCCTGCAAAGTTCCTCACCTAGCTGTTCCTTGCTTCATGACAAACCACCCCAAAATTTGCTGGCTTAAGACAAGGATGCACTGGTGGTCTCAGCTCTGAGGGCTATGCTTCTCTCCTGGTTTTGGTGGGGCTCATCATGTGGCTGTGAGAGCTGGGTCAGCTGCTCATCTCCTCCCTGTGACCCTGGACACCTTCTCAGCCTGGTGGTGTCAGAGAATTATTCCAAGACAGTGATGGTGGGTGTGTCAAGGCCTCTCAAGGCCTAGCCTGGGGAGTCATACAGTGTCATTTCCACTGGGCTCCATGGGTCACAGCAAGTCACAAGGCAGGTGCAGACCATGGGAAGGGACATACATGCCATCTCTTTTAGGAGGTGCTGTCACACTGCAAATGAGCTTAAGCCAAATTATCTGTGGCCATCTTCAAAGATCTGTCACAACTAAGAAGTGCTGGGACAAGCTTAACTGGACCTCTGGTTCAATAAGGAAAAACCGAGGGAACATGATTATCCAGCAAAAATCATATGACTCCAGAAATATGAATGGCTTATAACAAATTTATCTCTTGTTCACATTACAAGTGCCCTGGGGACTAGCGGGAATTCTGGGACTTTACTCAGAGACCGAAGGTGATGAAGTGAGGCATCTTCTCCCTGGAAGCTCGCCTAAATGCAGTCAGACAGGAAAGGGACATGGCAAATACTTGCTGGCCCAGAATTTCAACATAGAAGTGACACCACTCACCCCTGCCAATACATCCGCAGCCAAGCTGTCACAGACTTATCATCTTTCTGAAAGGGGCACTGAATGTGAGCGGACAGCAATCCACTCACATGGAGCCCATTTTCTTTACAGATTCCAAAACTGTCTCATTCTATTTCTTCCATTGGACAAAGGGCTGCTCATTCATCTGCCCCTGCTATCCTGTGAGTACTTCACAGGTCGCTGGAGACTTCCTTTCTCCAGGGTCACATACCAGATTTTCCAGCCCCCAAGCCTAAAGCCCATTGCTCACATGATCAAGTCCAAACTCTCACAGTTAAAACCCTGAGGGATCTAATTCCTGCCTGCTGAAAATAGGCCTGGTTCTAAAACCACACCTCTCTAAAGACAATCATTTATCCTTTGGCAGGGCCAATCAACCTATCCTTTTCTTTAAATCTCTTCATTTTAGGCCCTGCTTGCTCACTCTTTCCTCAAACATTTATTGGACATTATGATTTTCTGAATACTGTTGCAGGCTCTGGGGAGACACAGGGAACCAGGCTCCTGCTCCTTCAGTTATATTCTGCAGAGGTAAAACAGATAATAAGCATATAAACAAGTCATCCTAGGCCACGAGAAATGTTTTCATTACAATAAAAAGGAGTGATGTAGAAAATACTGTGGCAAGGAGATCACTGCTTTAGATGAGATGATCAGTTCTTAGAGCCTCTCTGATGTTTGAGCAGCTGTGGGAAGACGGAAAAGAGCATTCCCAGCAGAGGGCGTGATGAGTGCAAATGGCCTGTGGTGTGCTCCAACTTGGCCCATTCTGGGCACAGGGAGGAAGCTGCTGTGGCCGAAGCACATCACAGAGAATAATGAGACAATAGATCAGAGAGGTGAGTTGTGACCAGATGGTGTTGTCAGTGATAAGAGGCTTAGATTTCATCAGGTTTCATACCCCAAGCAACCAGAGATGGCCTGCCTAGCCTTTTTCAGGCTGGCAAACTGGACTAGGCACAGCGCAGAGACCATGCCCTGCACCCAGGATCCATCCTCTGAGGGCGCAGAGTTAACACAGCAGCCTTGATAGCTTGATATTTTAAAAGATGGGTTTTCCCATCTGGAAGGTGGGCGTTATTTTCACTAGCCCACAAACTCCCTTTTCCCAAGACCCTCCTCCCTCCCTCTTCTCTCTCTCCATATCCTTCAACTAGAACAAACCCATTGGTGGGGAGGTGGGAGGAGAGGAGGTGTCTGAAACTCCACTAATTTTTTTTATAATTAATAACCCCTGGATTGACTGATTTCTCGGAGCCTTTTAGCCTCAGATCCTCAGTTTACAGATCTCAGATCCCAGAATTACACAGCCTTTGCCCTTGAAACTAGTTTTCTCTTCCAACCAGATTCCTGGCAGCAGGTTGCTAGACACCCCCCACCCCACACCAAGGTGAAGGTCCCACCCGGTGCGGCGGGCACAGCCCTCCCAGGGCAGACCCTCCAGCTGTGAGCGGATCCAAGGCGGGGTCCCCGCTGGGGATCCCCTACAGCTCAGGCAATTACCGCACAGCTGGGTGCAGGGTCCGGGCCGGGCTGCGGGGAGTGTGCGGAGGAGGGGAAAGTGAGAAAGAGGGGGCAATGTTACAGGAAAAAAGGAGGGGGAAGTGTCAGAGCCAGAGAAGGAAAGAAGGTCTAAGAGAAAGGAAAGGAGAAAGTGGGTGAGTGGGAGACGACACTCGGCTTGGAGAGGGAGAACAGCAAAAGAAGAGGAAAATGTGAGCGCGCGCGCGCGGTGCAAGGAGTGAGGGCAAGAGAGGAAAGAGGGAGAGAAGCAGCGAGGGGGAGAGAGACTCGGAGGGGCAGGGAGGGAAGGGACCGCTGGGAGCTAGGAGGAGCGAGCTGGGGGCGGAGACGAGGAAGTGGGTGCGAGGCGCGCCGCCCGCTTCATCCCTGCCCGGAGCGGAGCCGGCGCGGGCGCAGGACGAGGCGAGCCGAGCGGAGCCACACTCTGCGGCGGCAGCTCCAGGTAACTCGGCCGCAGCCTCCCCGCGGGGCCTCAGCGATTCCGGGTGGGGTCTCCGGCGGGCGCCGGGGGGGCCGCCCCCGCGTGGCTGCTCCTAGGTCCCGGCGGTGTGGTGAGCCAGACCCCCGTGGGAGCCCAGGCTCTGGCGCCGGCCCCTCCGCCAGCTGGCGGTGCCTGACCTTGGGCAAGTCCCTCCACCTGCGAGCCTCAGTTTCCTCCTCTGTGATCCGCGGGGGTCGTGCCGGAGGGGGCGTTGCGTGGAGAGGAGGGGTTGCCGCCTGAGTCGGCTTCAGCGGGAGGTCGGGTTATGTCCCCTCCGCCCGCGTGGGGGTGGATTTGGAAAGTCCACATGCGCCCAAGCAGCCTCTGTTTTGTCCCCGCATCTGGGCGGTGGCATTTTTTCTGGGCGATGAAGCGACTTTCTGCTTAAGAAAAATGGATAGAAGGCCTGGGGGCGGGCAGGGGGTGGGGTTCCTAGCTCTTCAGGCGGTGAGGGGCTCCTGGCCTCCATCTTCTTGGGCTGCTGCCCCATGCCTGGGAGTGAGGATGGAGCAGCTCACAGCTGAAGCTTGGAGGTGGGGGGGGGTTGACTGCACAAGGGGGCCTCCCTGGGAATGCTGCTTAACTAGTGCAATTGACCTTGAGCATGTGCGCCTTAGTCCCACCCATGCCCAGGGTAAGGGGCCTGCCAGTGCCCCTTTGAAGTGAGGAGGTTGTGAGGATAGGGTGCTGGGGCCGGGAAAATACTGCCAGTGGTGGTGCCCTTGGTGACAGCTGTCACACCCTAATTCAGGTGGCCAGAGAGTCCTGGGGCTGGTGGTCTACATGCACCAAGTCCTCTCTGATCTCTTAACCAGAGACAGTCAGCGGCAGCTAGGCATGAAGCAGGACCAAGGGTATGAAGGGGTCCCAGGAGGCCCACCCCCAACCCAGACACACACCCCTATGATTCTGTAAGATCTGAAATCTGTGAGATGGTAGTTTACATCCAATGCAGACTCCTGGCTTCATCCCTCTTAGTCTCAGTTTCCTTCTTTTTAATAGGAAGTTATGAATTCCTACTAATGATGTCCCTGTCACTGGAGTTTATGAAAGGCAATTTAGGCAGATTACATGTATTGACATCTCTGACCCTGAGCTATGAGAAGAATGGAATCCACGGAGAAAACATTTTTGCAGTGCCCGCCCCATACAGGCCTTGTACCTGGTGACTTGTGTATACAGTAGTGACAGTAGTCATGACAGTCCTGGAGCAGGGCCATTAAATCCCAGTTTGTACTTGGCCACTCTGGTGGGAAGTGCCTGAGTGGAGACTGCCCCAGCTCTGCCCTACTGCAGAGCACTTCCCCGCAGTGTGATCTGAAAGGTGTCTAGCATGGGGCCTGGCACCTGGCAGGTATCCAGTCAACCTTGGTGTCTTGCTCCAGGTGTACTAAGAAGAACTGCTACATAATCCCTGGAGAAAGTGAGTCTGAAGGTCAGCAGTGGGGAGGGGCGGGGGAGACTTTGCCAAGTGATTTCTTTTAAGAAGGAAGAAGCGCACTACTCAACACCACATAGGAAGCATCAGGCTGACTCACTTTAGCCCACCAACTTCTTGTCCTTCCTCTACCACTTTGTTCTGGCTGACCTCTTGCCCGTGAACTTGGCCTAGGCAACTTCTCCTGAATTCCTGGATACTTCCATCCTGTATCCTCAGCTAATGACTAACTGACCTGACCCACCCAGCTGGTGTGTCCAAGGGGAAAAGAAGGCCATCTGTGATCCATTTCCACCAAAGTCCATAAGAAGCTAAAACAGGATTAAGTCGCAATCCCAAGGATTTAGCTCAGCCTTGGTAGGAAATCCCTGATGATGGGAAAATGGGCCTCCTGCTATGGGAAAATGGGTGTCTCGGCAGGCAAGAGAGGTTCCTTTGCCAAAAATGTTTTAGAAGAAGAGGAGGACAACCAAAGCTATGGGGATGGGAACAAAAGCTCTTTCAAATGCACAGACTCATCAACAATCAGAGAGTGCCTAAGTGTCCAACAATAGGGACTCAATTAAGTAAATTACGGGACAGTCATGTGGCTTCTAAAAACAGAGAGTTTTTAATAAATGAGGACATGCTTATGCATATGCATGGCTTTGCTACAATTTGTGACAAGCACTAAGAAAAAAGACTGGAAGGAAATAGGCTAAAGAGTATTAATGTTTGCCAGTGGGTGGCCAGGTTATGGGAGATTTGTTCCCTGACTCTATCATTTTTTAACTTTCCTGATTATATGCAATGAACACATACTTTGATAGTTATGGCCATGGAACTCTCTGGCCTCTAGAGGCCTCCAAAGTGCCAGGCTGAATGCAGAGAGCCCTAAGGTGAGAGTTCTAAGGTGGGGGGGGTACCAGGGTTGGGGGGAAGGTGGGGGCAGGCCAGTGGTCAGAGAAAGTGGTGTGTAAACAGTGTCCTTGGAGATTTGATTTGCTGGGTTGGGGAGGAAACTATGGTTCTTCAGAGAATGAAGGGTAAAAGTTTACCAAAAGAGATGAGATTTGAGATGGTTCTGGAAGGATAAGCAAGAAGTACCAAGTGAGCAAAAGAGATCAGAACAGTGGTTCTCAACTGGGGACAGGGGACATTTGTCAATGTCTGGAGATAGTTTTGATTGTCACAACAAGGGTGGCTGGGTATACTGACATTTAGTGGGCAGAGGGTGGTGTTGCTGCCAAGCATCTCCCAACAAACAGGACAGCCCCCCACAACAGGGGATTATCTAAAATGCCAGCAGTGCTGAGTTGTAAAGCCCCAGGGTTGAAGGGAAGGGTATTTGGATCAGCCCATGAGGGGCATCCATAGAAAGCGTCTCCTATGTGCTGGATGCTGGAGTCTGTGCTTCTACTACTGGCAGTCTGGCTGTCCTGTCGCCCCATCAGGAACCAGAGTGGTCTTTTCTTTTTAAGCATAAAAGCTTTATAGATATATAATTCTTAAACCATAAAATGTACCCATTTAAAGCATACAAGTCAATCATTTTTATTATATTCACAGAGCTGATGAACCATCACAACCATTTAATTACAGAACACTTTTATCACCCCCAAAAGAAACAGTACCTTAGAAACTTTTTACATTAAGAAACTGTGTACTTTATAAATAACTCCCTTTCCACCCTTTACTATACTCAGGGCTTTCTGTCTCTGTAGAAGTGCCTGTTCTGGCTTATTTCAGGTAACGTGATATTTTCTGGAATCCTCCATGTTGTAACATGTGTCAGAACTTCTTTCCTTTGGCCAAGAAATATTCCATTGTAGCGATAGACTACATTATGTTTCTCCATTCATCAATTCCCTTTCTTGGCTATTATGAATAATGCTGTTGTGAGCATTTGTGTACAGGTTTTTGTGTGAGGCATTGATTTTCATTTCTTTTGGGTAGATACCTAGGAGTAGAATTACCAGATCATATGATAATGCTATGATTGACCATTTGAGGAACATCCAGACTGTTGTCCAAAGCAGCTGCACCATTTTACATCCCAACTGGCAGGGTATGAGGGTTCCAGGTCCTCCAGGTCCTTACCGACACTGAGCACCTGACTTTTGGATTCTAGCCATGCAGGTGGGTGTGAAGTAGTATCATTGTGGCTTGGATTTGCATTCCCTCATGACTAATGGATTTAACATCTTTTCAGGATGCTCGTTGGCCATTTGTGTATTTTTGCAGAACCGTCTGTTCAGATCAGAGCCATCTTTGAAAGCTTCATTGTGCCATTCCCGTTAGACGAAACGCTGTGCCATTCCCGTTAGACGAAACACAAACCCCATAGACATCAGCAAGCCCTAAGTGATGGAACCTATCCACACTCAAATGTGTCTCTGCTAAGTCACTCTGCTCTGGCCACACTAGCCCAAAAGTGGCAGCTGGTCCTCCCTAAGGTCTTTTGCACAGACTGTTTACTTTTCTCCACCCAGATTGCCATTTGCATAGCATCTCAGGCAGCCTCAGAGAGGCCTTCCCTGTCCTCTCAATTTCAAGGGCCTCTCCCCATGCCCTCTGTAGCATAGTCCAATGTTTCAAACCTTTGATTATTTTTTTTACTATATGATAAGATCTAAAAGAATTGTCTCCAGGGATGTCTATACCTTTCATCACTGTGTGACGCTGGGCAAGCCACTGCCCTCTTTGGTTCTCTGCTCCTGAAAACCAGACAAGGGTATTTTAGCCAATTTCATAGGGCCTCTCCCATTTTGCCTTTCCTTGATGCCAGCTTCCATGTGACAACACTGCCAGGAGGGCAGGGGCCTGGCGCCATTGTTGTAAAAGAAGGGTGACTGAAGCCAAGTTGGTCACAGATAAGAGTACAACTGATTATCACCCAACCCAAGGGAACAGTCTCCAGGAACATGTGGTAGCCGAGTCTCCAGGAATAACAGGGAGAATTGCCAACAGGTCTAGCAACACCTTGACCGGTTTCAGCTCTAGCATCACCCTCTTTTCTGGGAGAATAATCTGACCTCCAAACCTGCTCTGAGCATGAAAGCCATTCTGACCCTCATTCAATCATTCAACAAACAGTTTCCAGGGTCCCACTTGCACCTTAGTGCTGGATGGTGCACTGAAGATAGGGAGCTGGATAAATGTGACCCCAACCAAAGAATTCAGGTCTGGTGGGAAAGTCAGACATGTAACCAACAAACTAGGCAGCATTAGACAGATACAGCCCTTCAAATCCATGCAGACCTCGGAGATTCAAGTATTCACTGCCCTGGGACAATCAGGGAAGTCACAGAACTAGATGTGGAGGTGAATGAGGTCAGCAGGCAGACAAGGGGTGCCTGGGTATTCCCCGAGAAGAAAAAGTTATGCAGACTCAGAGCTGCAAAGCCTCCAGGTGTGCTCAGGGTAGTCAGAAGAATTAGGTTCTGCCTGAGGCACCAGGGCCTGTGAAAGGAAGTCATGGGGGAGGGCCTTGAATGGTGAAAAGCCTGCAGTGCCAAACTGGGTGTTTGGACTTTGTCCTGTAGGCCTCAAGAGCCACAAAAGGATTGTCAGCTGAGGCTAGAAGGAGATCAGATTACATTTTCTAAAATGTCCTTTCTCCAGACTTCCAGGTGAGAGGGACAGGTGGGGCCAATGTGAGAGCTGGAGACCTGGAAGCTAATCACGATGCCCTTGCACTTGTCCAGGTAAGCAGGGATGAAAGCTGAAACAGTGCAGAGAAGGGGAAAAGGGAGAGAAGTGGTGAGAAGGGAGAGAAAAGGCAGATTCAAAAGCTGTTTGGGAGACAAAAGCACCTGAAGGGATCTGGGTTGAAGGAGACAGGGAGCATGGGACATGCCAGTGTCCTGCAGTCTTGGTTATCACAGAGGAGGCACAAGCTGTTTCAGGAACTGGTGTTTGAACCTAGCATTTTCCAGGTGGCTAGGAGATAAAAGATAGAGGCAGAAGAGGTGACCCAGATCCAGAGGTAGGGATGTGCAAAGGCACAGTCATGGGAGAGTTCCTGGAAAGATGAGATTTTCTGGGTGGCTGGAGCACAGAGCTCATCATGGGAGGAAATAGGGGAAACTGAGGCTGGAGAAGACTAGAGGATTGTTAGAGGAGAGTGCAGGAGCCCACTCCCAACCCCCACTGCAACACCAGAGGTTGCTTCCAGAGGCAGAAACCACTGCCCAGGAGAGAGTCCTTGCTGAAGCTAGTCTTCCACTCCTTACACACCCACAGAGCCAAGACAGGCAAGACAGCCTGGTTTTCAGCCAGGAGGAAGGTGGACTCCCCATGAATTGGTCAGTGAGTTTGATGCTGATCTGGCACAAAATTCAGAATTTGCAGAGCGATAATGAAAAGGGAGATGTGGTTAGAAAAGGAAGTAAATCCTGGGCACGACCTGACCCTCAATTCCGGGAACATGCTGAGAGCAGAGGGCAGCTCGGGGAGGGCTTCTGCAAGACCCACAAGATATTAAAAAAAAAAAAAAAAAAAAGAGGTAACACTTAACTTCATTGGAAAGTTTGGATGTTTTATTTTAAAACCAGAAGATTTCACTGAAAACCCAAATTTCCAGCTTTTTTTTTTTTTTAATATGGTTGTCTGGCAGCACTGGGCTCACAGTGACCCCAGCTGCATGATGGTCACATGCTTCTCTGGCGTCGCCGCCCCCACCTCCACCCCAGAGTGGGTGTACACAATTCACACACACAACCTGCCTGTATCAGGATCCCCAGGACCTAGGAAGTCAGACCAGCCTTCTTTCTTGTTTGCTCTGGCACCTGGAGGCGGGGACAGAGGCTTGCTCTGTGTCTCCCAAATTAGTCTTGGGAGCATAATTATTTTCAGGGGAGGGAGACTCCATGGAAATGATTGGATCTGGGGAGGCGGGGAAGCTCAGGTTCTGGTACCTTATTTGACTTTCTAGAAGCCCTACAACCCACAACCCTTCTCAGGCACAGCACATGCTACAGCTGGCAGGCTCGGTCAAGGCCACAGTTAGACCCCCATTGACCTGACTCACCGCAGCACCCCACACAGATTCCTTTTATTAAGTAACACCTTTAACAAATACCCTCAGAGCCCATTTGGGGGAAATATTGCTTTTGTCAGGTTAGATGGTTATGGTTTTTCTTTTCGCTTTTTGAGTAGGTGAGACCTTCACGTGGTTCAGAAGCAGATGCACAAAGGTGCACAGGGAGTGCCCCCTTGTTAGTCTGTTGTGATGTGTCCTTCCAGGTCTTCTTTCTGCAAAGACATACACGCATTTCACATGCACACAAAGATATTATCTGTTTCTCTTTCCCTGCATATGTGTATCTGTGCTCCCCAATGTTGAAAATAAGAATACATGAGTAAACAAGTATGTGCCAGTATATGCAAAAATATCCTGACATCTGTATATCAAATATCAAAATATATGCGTATATATACACACATATCTATTATTATATTTGACATTAGGAAACATGATTGTATACCCAACATTCACCTTCCTGGTTTTTTTAGTCAATAGAATTTTCAAAAGAGAAAATTTTGAATTAAAAAAATGTGAAAGAAGGCAATAAGTCATTCTACCGTCATCTGCAGGAGACTGTTATCGCCATCCAATCTGTCCTTTTACATAGAACTTTTAGTTGTTGGTTCCCGTGCCCCTTAAGTTAAGACTGGAAGTTCGTAGTTACTGTCATCCTCTCTATATAATTTGAATCCAGCTGTCTTATTACTTACATAGCAATATTTTCCCTAATTATTTCATAGTTTCTAAAATGTTACAGTAACAGCTATAGTAACTCCATTATGGCATAATTTACTCATTTTTCTGGTTTTAAACATATAAAAATCATTTGCAATATTCAACTGTTGTGAATAAGACTGAAACCTACAGGTTTTTTTAATCTATTTGGAATTGGGTCAAGTCAGTGCTTCCAGAAATCCTGGCCTGTAAAGCCAAAGGAGAATAGCCTTGACTTGGTCACCCAGGGCAGAAGCTAGAGGCTTGGAGGTTTGGGAGGAGGTGAGGGGGACTACTGGGGAGGAAAGGACTGGGAAAGAGAAGGGACAAGGCAGGACTGGGAGCTGGAGGAAGTCAGGCTCCTGGTATGGTCAAGCATTTTGCTCATATTTGTCCATTGGGTAGTCTCCACACCAGCTAGGCTCTTAGTAAGTACTGAGGCTTTCCATGTCTGTGCCCTGTTGTCCTCAGATAATTGAGGGACTATTTTTGTTTCCATTTGGCCAGGTAAGACACTAAGGCAGAGAGACACCGAGCCATTGCTCATGAGAGCCTAGAGAGAAGCAGTGGGACTGTAATGTAATGCAGGTAACTGGTTCTAAACTTGCCTGGCTCTTAATCCCACAGCCTCTGGACACCTGTGCATACTTGGGATTATTATCCCCATTTCACAGGAAGGGAAATTGGGGCTCAAAGCCAGGTCACCTGGTTGAAATTACCATAGCAGAGCTGGGATTAGATCCCAAGGCTACTATTAAGAAAGTAGGGGAGAGGGAGGCTGAGATGAGGGTGGGATTGGGGGGCAGGCTAGGAGGAGAAGCCTTCTAACCCATCACAATTGCATTGGCCTGCGGACTATCTAGGATTTACCACAAGCTGTCCCTGAACTCAGCCTTATCCCAGCGAAGGCCCATGTTTTCTTGGAGTGCTCATTTCTTCTCCCCATCTGGTTGAGTGCCTTTTCTGGCAGGAAAGGCAGCATTTATTTCCAAGAGAAGACTGGAGAATGGCCGTGGGGCAGGGAGTGGCATTTACAGAGCTGCTTCCACCTTCTAGCACCATCCCCTTACGTAAGCCTTTCATCTCCCCAGCGCTGCTGCTGTCCTGTACACCCATTACAAATGGCAAAACTGAGCCTCTCAGGCGCTCCTGGCTCCTTGCCACTACACGGTATTGGCTTCCTGGGGTGAGCAAAGTGCCTCTTAGAGTGTGGGGCAGGCAGCCCAGGAGGCCCAGAGACAGACTTGCATGCTCAGCAGCACAGAAATAAACATCCAGTCACGTGGGTAGAAGATCCCCTTCCCAGCTCTCCTTCCAGCCTTCCTCTGTAAGGCAAAGAGATTGTGTCCCTTTGGTCCTAATCTGCCTTCCACACTTCTAACCCAGGCCCCTGACTTTCTAACAAGGAGATGGCTGTGCCCCTCCTACAGCAGTAGCTCCATGGAATTTAACAACCTCAGTTGTATTTTCATTGCATTTATTTTGGGGGGTGACCCATTTGAGGAGAAGTGACCTGGTAAAGAAAAGGTTAAGTGAAAAACAGAACTGATATTTTCTGGGTTTGGTAAAAATCATGGAAATGGTGCAAAAAGGAATAAGTCTTGGGGATACACAAGAGGTGGGGTACAGGATTAGCTGTGGGGACTTGGAAACTGAGAGGACGCTTCCTGACTCTGACCAGCTATGTGACCTCCGCCTAGGCATTCAACCTCTCTGTGCAACATCTGTAAAATGGGGTATACTGACTGCCCTGACACCTCCACATCCTTCTCCTGCAGGACTCAAAATGCGCTCATGAGTAGGTGGAGGGGCCAGGAACGTAGGTGAGGCCAGAGAGGATTATGTAAGAGAACCAGTGTGTGTGAATGTTGTTGGCAAGTGTTAACTGCTGCTGATATGGTTAAGGTGACCCAGCCCCTGTAGGCCTTTTGCCTGTAAAAGCGAGTCGTACCTTCTAAAAGGGTAAAAACCTTCCTGGAGTGAGGTTGGGAGAAAGAACAGAGAGGAAGAGAGATCTGGTGTTGGTGGGGCAGCTCTGGTGCCTGGCAGATGCAGCAGTGGCTGCTGGTTCTGATGGTGGTGATGATGGTAAAGGCAGTGATGGTAGTAATGGCAGTAGCGGCTGTGATGGCCGTGACCGTGACGAGGATGGTAATGCGTGCAGCCAGGAGGCCTGCAGCATGTTTAGCAGACACAAGTGAAGAGAGAACGTGTTGCTCTGGAGGGCAGCCTGGAAAAGGGAACTGCAGTCTGCTCTCTGGGACCTCAAAGCTCTTCAGGAAGCTATAAAAAATACCTACACACACACATACACACAAAGGTACCTGGTCTAAAATAAAAAATAAAAACCACATAATTGCAAGTATTGAATGTTTAATTGGACATTTACAAATGTAACATAATGACAGCTAGTCAATGGCATCTCATTATACTAAATAGCTATATGCAAATTATATTTCCTGCAGATTATGCATATATTACAATGTATTTTTTATTCAGTGGGGTACAGCCTCCAAAACAAAGAATGTGTAGGGTTCTATATATATCTTTGAATGGCCATGACTGAGTGACAAATACTTTGTAAATAGTAAAACCCCCATCATTGGAAGTATGCAAGGGGTCAGGGAAGACCCCTTTTGGGGAATGTTGGAGAAGGGGGTCCTGAATACCAGGGTTTTGTTTCTACTCTGAGCATTCCTATTTTATTATTTTGGGGGCTCATAATTCCTTCCCTCCCACACCTTTCACACATACTCACATGCACACACTCACACACACAGTCACTGGAAGAAGCTATTAAGAGTCTAAGCATGCCCCCCACTTTTCTCCTGAAGACACAGGGTTATGAAAATTGTTGAAAGTCCCACAGCAAGTCAGAGTCACACCAGAGACTCCAATTTAGTGTTCAAAATCCCAACCCAGTGCCCTCTTTCCCCACCCCTGCCCTCTGGGCAGAGATTTGTC